GCACCATTTTAAATATACCTAAACAGTGAGTACGTAGATCAAAACAGGAAGGCAAAAGGAATGCTGAGAGCAAAGAAAAATTCATAATGTATCACTGGATGGTTGTGAGAATAAAATGAAATATAAAGTGCCTGGCAGTGTCTACAACACCACTAGCATTCAGTGACTGTTAACTAGCATAGTGATGATTACAAAGTTGATACAACTCCTGGAAATCTTAAAAAAAAAGAAGAGGATAGTGTATAAAGTGTTTAAAACAGCCAAAATAAAGGCCCTAGATCACATTTTGCAAGCACGTTAAATGATCTTTAAATTGATCATTTATCTTAACAAAAAACATAGCCTTTCTCTTAAATTCATTAGAAGTTATGTGAAAATATAGGGGAGATGCATGTAAGCATGTAGTAATTTTTGGAATATTTTCCCAGCTCTCAGTCCCAACTAGAAAATATCCTGGTTTGGACAGGGAAAGGAATGGGAGTAACTAGGCATAATTTTTTCTAAATGTCAAAACAAATCCTTTACATAATATTTGTTAAGGATATATTATTACTTGACCACCTAGAGTAACTAGAATTTTCATACATAGAATAGATTTGGGGGAAAGAAACAAAGCAAGTATATAAAAAGATAAATTGAGGGGGATGAAAGTTATGAAGAGTTATAAAAGCTTTTTCCTCATTAGATTATAATAGGAAATAATATCACATTCAGGACAATGATTTACCTGCTATAGACTCTCTTTTCAAAACAGTCTTACTTAGAATTTCTAGACTGTACTCGGGGCATATGCTTTTGTAACATATCCTCATAATAACTATGAAAGTTAGGTGAGGAATTTGCATATAGGAAAACTAAAGTTTATAAAGGCTAAATAATTTGCCTAAAGTCACATGGCCTTTTATTGGAAAATATAGACCAAGTGTTTACATTTATGATACTTAGATCAAGGTTATTGTCTTAAGCACAAACTGAGTCTCATCAGGTCTGAACCCATTGTTTCAATGCCCCCTAAGCCCTCAAGTATCCTTTATCAGTGCTACTCAAAGTGGCTGCTCTACAACAGAAAGGAACGTTTGTCAGAATGTAAATCAATGCACTACTTCCTTCTTCAAGATGCTCATATATAATCATAGATACAGATAAGAATAGATAGATATCTACATGTATATATACATATACACATACGTATATATTCATACATAATACATACATATAGTCAATGGAATTAAACAGTGTGCTTAATGATGAAGATTAGGGTTTGGAAAGCTAAGGCCCCCTGAATGTTTGCCTGCTTTTGTAACCAAAGTTTTACTGGAACACTATCAAGTCCATTCATTTACACATTCTCTATGGCTGCTTTAGCACTATAAAGCACTACAGTTGCTACAGAGACCTTATGATCCATGACATTTTAAATATTTAATATCTTGCCTTCAAAAAAATGTTTGCTTCTTATCCCAGACTTTCCTCCATGGAGTTGAGAAGTGAGAAGCCTAGAGATCACTCTGCCCCGCAGGCATGCCCTGGAGTGGGGATGGGGAGAAGGATTTCTCTAGAGATGTAACCACCCAGACATAACCATGAAACCTGAGCTTTCTCAGTTGACAAGAACTGTAGCTCCTCACAAGACAAAGAAGGGTGCTGAAATTTTACCATCCTTTATTGTTGTTGTTGGGTGCCATCCTACAGGGCCTAAATCCCTGCTGTAGGGGTTCTCTAGGGGCAGCATATGGACTTTTTCGTTAACTTTTCATTTGGAACCCAGAGAAGAAAGGCTGAAGGGAGTGATTAGAATGGGCCTGACTGTGAAAGAGATCATATTCTCCTTTTCTCAGAGCTTCTTAGATTGCTTTGAAGACCCAAAAACAGAACAGAGGAGCTTTACATTCTTTCCTAATTTTCTCATTTTCCTAGAGTAACTAACCAATTTCATTTCACACTTAAAAAATATATACATATAACTAACAATTTCACCTATGCAAATCACTCTAACAATTTCAATCTAATTAATAACTAAGAGAAAATCCGTTACTGTCTCTCCAGAAAAAACAGTTTTTAAGAGTTGAACTGTTTCTACCATAGCAAATGCACTTGAAGAAAATTTTCAAAATATTATCCACAGTTTCTTTTTCACTGAATAGATGAGTTATTCAGTTGGATTGGTTTAAACAATTAATTATTTTGAAATCACAGGATAAGCATATTCTAAGAAAATAAAAATATATGTTTTCCAAATGTATCATTGTATAAATCTATAAACAAGAAATATCTGGTGAACTTACATGTCTTTGGGATCCATCATATTCACATCTTTCAATTTTTCCTAGACTGCCATCTGAGAAATACAGCTTCTCAGCGCGGTGGTCAATGGTGAGGCCATTTGGAGTCAGTATGTCTGCACTGACTACCACTTGAGCATTTTTCCCAGTCAGGGTAGATCTCATGATACTTGGATGCTGTTCATTCCAGTTGGTCCAAAACATTAAACTAATTTAAAAAAAATTGTGATAAGAAATTAAAATATAATTTCATTTATTGTAAAAACATTAGTAGAAACATGGCAATGCCACGCTATTAAAAATAAGCAAAATTAATTGCCTCAGAATCTATGACCGTTAAGGAAGTCTAGGTGTCAAGGGAAGATACTCATTTATATTTGCATGTATTGTTTTCCTAGATTCTTAAATGAAACCTGAAAACTATTTCTAGAAAAAAATTATCCTGTTCTTTCTCTCAAATAATAATTAAATTAAGCCAGTTAGGTGCATAATAAGGATTTGTTTTTATCAGGGACAAAACAATTATCTTAAATTTTTGTGAACAGTAGATATACTCTAACATTAATATCGCTGTTTAGCAGATCCAGTGTGGTCATTTTGGACATTATTATTATTAGCTATATATCTCTTTTTCAATTGGGTGAAATTCAAAACCTCCTTCCCTTTCTAGGTTTGCTTTTAAAATTCAGCATTCTCATTTCTATATGTTTTACAGAAATGAAATTACTAGACTATTATTTTTCTTTATTTTTTTTTTACTCTCTTTGTCAATGAGATTTTTTAAAAATATATTACAGTGTTGTGTCTGGAATTCTAGGGATTAGTCTCAAATCCTTAAACTCAATATCTGTTATTTATACAGGTTTTTCAGGATGCTTTACATCAATGTCAAGCTTTACTCTGAGGAAGCCCTCAGATTCTGTTTTTCTAAAGTGTTTCTCTCCTGGAAGAGACGAGAAGCTGCAGGGTTCCAGTTTCCAACCCGTTTTTACTAGAATAGTTCGTTATCTATAGGAATGCCCCTAATAGTTTATTTGAAAATAGTTTGTTGCTACTTAGGATAAATGGACTGAGAAGGAAGGGAGGGAGGGAGAGAGAGAGGTTACAAGTTACAAAAGAGATCACTTCCTAATTGTGTCTTTAAGAATTTGTAGAGAAGTCAGAACAAGTGCATATGGTTCTTACTTAGCCTTACTTTAGTGCAAGAAAGCAGCCCTGGTGGATCCGTGGTTAAGAGCTCAGGCTGCTAACTAAAAGGTCAGCAGTTCAAATCCACCAGCTGCTCCTTGGAAACTCTATGGAGCAGTTCTACTCTGTCCTATAGGGTTGCTATGAGTCTAAATCAACTCGATGGCAGCAGGTTTGGTTTGGTTCTTTGGTTTAGTGCAAGAAAAGGATTGAAGAGTTCTCAATGATTTAAAAGCTGCACTTGCAGCAAGTAAAGGTGATCATGATGAAGAATTTGTTGCACAGAGGTTGGTTCAATTATTTCTAAGTGAGGGCAAATTTTCATAACATTGAAGGGCAAGTATAAGTTGTCTGCAAGTCAGAAGTTCGTAAGTCAGACGTTCATAACCCGGGGACTGCCTGTACCTGAAAAATTATACTCAAATTATACTTACAGAGGAAAACTATTTAAAATATTTCACATTTACAGCAGGAGTACATATATCATTCCCATGTAAAATCATTTAAAAGCAATGTAGGTTTATAGCCAACAAAATCATTCAATATATGGTATATAAGTATTATGTAAAAACTTATTACTGGAGCATATTCAAACTTACAACAAATATCTTTCTACTTGCTAATTAAGAAATGTTGCCATCCATTGAATAGAGCTGGGCCATCTATGCTCTTTGGAAAATGATTTCATTCATTCTATGGAATACAAAAGCTTTCTAAGTGAACAAATGTCAAAAGCATTCTATTCTATGAGTAAATTTGCAAAAAAGTAAGGTGATATTCCATCTCCATAAAGTATGCAGTAGTTGTAGCTACATACTGTGACTTCAAAAATGAAACAAATTATCAATTAAAATATTTTAGAAGTTATGCATATAATGTATTAAAGTCACAATTTGTTACTTGCAATATTTCCCTAGATTTTTGGCTTTAGAATTATCCAGTTTGAGAGGTATTAGTGTTCCTCTCATTTTATCTCCTCATTTCACAGATGAGAAAACAGAAGCCCAGAAAATTGATTAATTCAAGTTTATACAAATAGCTAGTAACAGAGCCACATCTGAATTTGAGTAATCCAACTTTCACCCATAATTTATGATTTTATTTAAAAATTTCTGTTAATCAACTAACACACAATAATGACTTGAAGGTATTATTGATATGTATAATGATAAAAATGTTTTTTATACTATGATATTAATTACATATAGTTTCCCAATTAAAATATTTTTGGCATGTCTAATTTATAGTTCATCATGTGTAAGAGAAAAGTATGAATTTTAGCCTATGTAATAAATAATTAAACATAAAGCAATTATTGATTAAAACTAATCATATATAATATCATCAATGATCTCTTTGTTCACAGTATATTTGTGAATTGCTTTGATCTACTCTCTTTTATTCTTATTGTAGGACGTTTATTATTGTCCTGAGATTCTTCTGATTTATCATCAGGATAAATGTAGCTGAACTAACAATAAATAGCAGTTGTGTGAGCTGAATGAGGTCTACTCTGGGTATCAGAAGGCTTACGTCCATTGGACCTAATAGTCACAGGGCTGTGTAAAGAGTTAATACATCTCTCAATTTTCAGAATCTTATTACTTATAAGATGAAGGTGTTCAATTAAGTATATTAAGTCCAATCTCACTTCAAGCTCTATACCAAAATACCAAACCAGCTGCCCTTGAGTCAATTCCAATTCATGGAGATCCCACGTATATTAGAGTAGAACTGTCTTCCACAGGATTTTCAAAGCTTGATTTTTTGGGAAGTAGATTTTCAGGCCTTTCTTCTGAGGGACGTTAGGATGGACTCCAACCTCCAACCTTTGGTTTAGCAGCCAAGTGTGTTAATTTGCACCATCCAGGGAATCCTCTAGCTCTATCAGTGTTCAAATTTACACTTATTTTCACACTGACTAATTCATGTAGTCTCTCTTTTCTGACAAGTGGTCAGGGTCAGTGCTTATCATTGTTTTTTATTATTCACTTTTTCCTCACCACACCTTTAAAGAACTCTTCAATTTCTGCCAACAAAGAAGTTTACATTGGTTTGATTTTTGTTTATTTGTTTTATTTACAAACAAAAGAATTTTCTGGTAGTTGACCTTACCATATTGTAAGAGAGTGGAACAACATAGTTTTTTTTTTTTTTTTTTTTTTACGAGTACTCAATCTGAGCTTTGTTCTTCAGTTTTCTATATATCTGCTTCATTTATGACATCCTAAAAAGACATAACTGTATACTGTTTTGCATTGTCTTTTATTCTCTTACTACTGTAGCCTGAGCATTTTTTCTTGTCATGAATTCTTCACAAGTAGTATTTTAAAGGCCTACACAATATATCATCAAACAGATATAGACTATTTAGGCTGTTTGCAGTATCTAATTTGGAAATACCTCTGCATGTACAGTTTGTTGGTTTTCTTTATATTTCAGTTGGAGAGATCCCCAGTTGTTGAAATTACTTGGTTAACGTATAAACACATCTTTCAGACTTCAATACATGTTAATTATTTTTTGGGTTTTTAATTTTTTTTTTCAAATTTACATTTTCAACCAGCGAGGCATTAATGCCTTCTTTATATATCTTTTCTAGCTTAGTATTGTCTTTTCTTATTTTCCCTGTCCTCATTTAAATTTGTTTTTACTGGAACTGACAGCCACATGAAACTTGCCATTCACAGATTCCAGATTTTAATTATTCATATTTGCAATGCTTGCACTAAAAAAAAAAAAGTTTTATGCATTGTGAAATGACTACTTCAAAAAAAAAAAAACTCTTGATTTTAAAGTTAACTGTTTTAAAAATTAAGATAGACTCTGATATTCCCTTGACTTATAATTATAGTGTAGAAATAAAAATGAGCTCGTTCTCACTTTTGACATTCATCCAAGGCTAACACATGTGGATGGTCATCTTCTGACATGGTGATGACTGCTTCCCTATCGAACGCTCCCGGCCGAGTCTGGTCCACTGTGTGTCTGGTGATGGATGACGTAGTAGAACTGGTCCAGTATAATGTATCCCAAGCTCTGTGATAGGCAAGTCCTTCGACGGAACCCACATCTGATGGGAAAATAAAAGAATAAACATACATTGTTATTTATAAAAAAGTGACATTTAGACTGAAACGAAAAATTTTTTATTAATATGCCTATATGTTATTTTATCTGTTGTTTTTTCACAAACTCTCCAGAATAAAAATATATAGTAACTGCAAAACCCACAATAAATATTATCAACAGCCGATTATGCACAGTAAAACTTAGCTGTGAACTGTTCTATATGTCATGGGAGCAGTTTTTGCAAAAAAGATGTCACAAAGAACACTGAATCTTGTCATTCCAAAGAACTCAGTTAAATGATTGCTTCTTATTTAGGAAAATACTGGTTCTCTTTCTTCTGTATCTTAATAAGTAATTTTCAAAAAGTATCCAGTGTCCATCCATATAGTGGTGCTTTTGAAAATGATATGTTACCGATATTATTTAAGTACAATTATAACGTGTTTTTCTCTTGAAATTATAACTGGAGATGTACAGAAAAAAATAAATACATCAAAAACAACAACAACAGTATAAAAATCCCAAATCCAACTCCATATTTGCAACTATCAAACAGTGGCATATATGTTTTAATAAGTTAATACTACAAGTTCTTTGATTCTCTTCAACTAATGTGATTTAAAAAAAAAAAAAAGGAGAAAGGTAATGAAATTAATTGCCAGCTAAGGCATGCTTTAAATGTTGTCAGAAAACGATAAATATAGTGGACAGATTGAATACATAAAAGCGACAATGTGAAAAACATGAGTAATTATTTCCTAAAATTGTGTTCCCAATCACTCGGCTAACATATTTATTTATTTATTTATTTATTATAGAAGTGTTTAAGTATGTATTTAAGTATAAACAAACTATGATACTTCTCCCTTTATGTTATCAGTTTTTATCAGTTATTATTCTTTGGATATTTAATAAATGATATATATCTTTTGTAGTCATACTAAGAAATGAACATGATAATAAAAAAATACAGAACCTTTGTATTGTTTTTCTTTCAAGGAATCTCTAAAAGGAGTTATTCAACACTTCTAATAGTAGGTAGATGAAAAGAGCTGTTTTCATGTTTAAGAGGGATAAATATTTAGGTTATAGGTCAATACAGTTTAGTGGCAGTGCAAAATTAAAGCCTTTTAAACCAAATTGTTTTCATGTGATTAAATTTTGCCATTTGTTTTCCATAAGCAACACAGAAAGATCCCTTAATAATAAACTATTAGCTATCATTTAGTGGATACTGTATTTCTGTTAGAAACTGTGCTAACTACTTTGCATACATCATTTTGTTTTATGGACAAATCTAATCTGTGAAGTTTCTTTCACTGTTCCTCTTTTCTTAAGACAGAACTGATACCTATGGTCACAAGACTGGTGTTAAAGCAAGATTTTTAATTCAGGTCCATCTGCTTTTGACAGCCTAAGTCTTAATAGCACCATTATTTAGAAATAGTTCTTGGGTGACACAAATGGTCTGCACTCGATGACTAACCTAAAGTTAGGTGGTTTGAACCCATGCAGCAGTGCCATGGAAGAAAGTCCTGGGAATCTGCTTCCATAAAGATTACAGCCAAGAAAACCCCATGGAGTAGTCCTACTCTGTAACATATGGGGTCACCATGAGTTGGAATCGACTCATCAGTAACAGGCATTTAGAGAGGCTTGTGGCATCAATCACTTTTTCTGAATCTACACCAAACTGGAACTGAACAAATGATCCGTTAGTACCAAGTCATCTGGCTCTGGGTAAATTAAATAACCATGAGTAGCCTCCTCTCACACAGTCAACAAACAGGTATTTACAAGGAATTAATGAGGGTGAAATGATGGAAGAAAAATTATAAAATACAACTCCAATAAAATAAGTTAAGCTATTTTTAGAATGATTCATGCGGTACTCCTGTTTGGGAGGAGTCCATGAAGTTGCAATACACTGCAGAGCAACAGGTTAGTTTTGTTTTGTTTTTGGAGGGAGGTTTATGACATTGTTCAAAGGTTTTTCAGTTATTAATTAATAAAGCATCTATTGCACTATGTTTTTGAAGTTTCAAATCATTTCAGAAATGAAGTTAACTCTTAGTAGTATATATGGCATTACATCCACTTCATCATTCACAAATAGAATGAGAAATTGCATAGCTTTGAATAAATCCAAGCAAATCAGAATCATTAATCCATTGTCATTCTGCATCTTCCCTTTCCAGTGACTTTGACAGATTTTTCTCCTGGCCACTTTTCCCTGCTAAATGAGCAAGAAACCACTTGGTGCCACCATTGAGATGAAGCAGTTTCTTCTTTTTTTATGGTTAATGTAGTTACAGGGTTACTAGAGTACATAATACATCTCTCTGTCTAGGTACTATCTCTTTTATTTTACTTCGTAATAGCTGACAACCTGACGGTACATTTAATCATAATCTGATGTTACATTTTTAAATATTCCAGCAATATATATCTTTTTGTTTGTTGTCATTCTCAAAAAGATTGAATCCCTTTAAAATTGTATTAGCAAAATATCTAGTTAAAAACATACACCAAATTTAAAAATTATAAAAAGTATTTTAGTAGAGATAACTTGTAAAACGATTATGCACATTTTATGACAGGTTAACAACAGTGTTGGGCATGTGGCATGTGTGCATGCAGTTGTGTGCATGTGTGTACATGCATATACACGTGTAGGCATGTTTGTGCTTGAACACCACTAAGGTTCTGGAATCAGTTGCACAGCTAGAATAAGAAATTTGTGTTACTGGCACTAGCAAAACAATTATGTAGTTCCAAAAGGACAGTAAAATGCCTATCTATCCAGTTAACCAGACTTGAAATCTTGAGTATAATAAATCAGTATAGTTAAACATCCTTGGTTTAAAGATGTAAAATAGGCAAAATTAAGAAAATGACTGTAACAGTGCTATTTTAGCAAATCCATAGTTTCCACTCTAGCAAAAGTTTTGGAAGTCTGATACATAACCAGTAAAAATACCACTACTACATGCCATGAACTTAACTTAAAAAAAAAGACTTCTGTTTTTTTTTTTCTCTCCTTTGAGCCAGGAATTGGGTTTAGCTAAGTATGAGTGAGGAGCCCTGGTGGCACAGTGGTTAAGTGTTCAGCTGCTAACCAAAAGGTCAGCAGTTCAAATCCACCAGCCACTCCTAGGAAACCCTATGGGGCAGCTCTGCTCTGCCCTATAGAGTAGCTATGAGTTGGTATCAACTCAATGGCTATGGGTTATAGGTTAAGTATGGATGAAGTTCTGTTGTGTGTTTGTGGAAGAAAGGAGAGGAGGCCAGATCATCAAACAATATAAGACCAGCAAATAACACAGAACTATGGGTAATCTTATTTTCTGGACTCTTGTTTCCACAGCGACTATTGGGCTGACTGATCCTAATAGCCTGGCAGAGTGACATCCAACCACTGTTGCGCAGGAGACTTCATTTCACAGAGAAAACACTTTCATCTTGTTACCACCCAAGAGGGGACAAAAGCCCTTCCCTGTCTGTTCAGCGTTCTAAAGACAGCATACTAGCTTCCTAAATGGGAAAGGTAGAGGAGGATGTTTTTGACAGGGACTCGTGTGTACAAAACATGAAAATTTGAAAAGGAATGATGTTGAGAAAGTAGAAATTGGCTCTGACTGAGAAAGTAAATATGCCCCGCCGTTCACCTGACAGAGATAATAGGTATGGATAAAGCCAGTTACATTCACCTGACTGAGATAATAGGTATGGATAAAGCCAGAAAACAATATTTCTCCCAAAGACTTGCTTTAGCTGTAAAGTGTCATAATGACCTCCTTGTTGATTTAGTACTACCTTCTTACTCATTGGCTTGTTCTCTAATATCAACAGACTATAAGAAGGTTTGCTGTTTGTGATTATGTCAGTAGTATGAAACATCCCAATCTTGTCTGGAGGGTCTGAGTCACTTTGATACAAAGAAGCAGCCCCTTTTTCCAACTCCAGTAAAGAGTTTTAAAAAAGAGGCTTCTGGACACAGCATTGCACATCTGTCGTCACTTTTTAGTTTCCAAGAAAACGAGATCCTGGGTCCGCTTCACAACCTGGCACTGATGATGAACTCTATACACACAGCATGCTTTGCTTTAAGCCTAACATAATATAACATCGCTTTTTTTTAAATTTCACCTAAACTCTGCCCTTCTCCAACAATCTTCTAATAACTCTGTTATGGATTTAATTGCATCCACCAAAAAGACATGCTGAATTTCTAACAACTGTACCTGGGAATGTGACCTCGGTGGGGAAATAGGGTCTTTCTTAACAGATGTTATCAGTTAATGAAGTCATATAGGATGAGCCCTAATCCTAATCCGCTTGAAGTGGCATTTTGTAAAAGAGAAGGACAGTCACAGAAACAGAATCAC